CTGAATAGGGATCTTCCTACTTTAGCATCTTGAGTTATAACTGCATGAATTGCCCTCATTTTAATACACAAATTATCCTTTAAAACTCAACATCAATATTCAAATGATGGATTATGTGTGAAAGCATGAATACCATTAGAGATCCACCAGAGATCTTCTGAGGAATACAATCATAACAATAGAAGAGCACCTACCTCTCAAGGTTGGTAACAGACAGAAGATTTAGGGTTTTTTGGTTTTTGTTTTTGATATGCAGGGGTTGAAAGCAGTGACTCATGCTTGCTAGGCAGGTATAAAATTCAGTTACATTAATTATATGCATACTACTTTGTAAACATTACCTCTGTTTGTGAACTTTCTTTTCAATATTTATGGAATCCACACAATCATTGAGTAATAATCACCCCAAATGACCTGTACCAGAAACTTTTAATCTTCCATTTTCTCTTATGAAATGGTTTAGTCAATATATCTCACATAAATAGATTATTTTTGTGTCCATCTATGACAGACATATATTAATTGCAGCCTTTTTTGGATGAGTCATAATTTATGCATAACTCATATTTTATAAACCTATTCACCTGATAGACACTTCAGGTGTTTCCAATCCCTGACTATTGTGAACATTGCTGAAGTTATCATTGGCATATGAGCTATTAGTTTTTTTGGGTATGAAATGAGCAATTTCATTGCTCATTGTTGGGTCATGTAGTAATGCTATGCCATGTTAGAAGAATGTGTCAAATTCTACCATAATTGCTATATCACTTTTCATCAACACACAAATGTACAAATGGTCAATAAAATGTACAAAAGTATTTCAAATCTTGCACAGCTGTGCCCTAAAGGATCATTTTCTTTTTACTTTTTACTTGGTTTTATTTAGTTCATGGAGGTCTGGAAGTATGTAGCAGTGTCTAGAGCTGAAGTGAGAACAATACCAGATGCACCTGATCTAGCCTCCAAAAACATTTATACTGATAGTCATTTTTTTCTAGAGATAAATTTTAGTTATTATATGCATGGTCACTCTTTTAAAATAGCGTTTTGAATTTCAAAATGACATATAACTCTAACCATTCTGTGTACCATCTTTATAATAAGAAAAAATATATTTACAAAAAATATAAAAAGACAAAAAATGGTTTGAACTAGCTAAGGTTGATGTCAGCTTCCCAGCAGAAAAATATCTTACAATCACAGTCTTATAATGACCGAAGTAACATAATACAATAAGACCTCATCTCAAGTAAAATGAAGAGCAAGGATAGTGGGCAGGGGTCAAGGGGTAGAGCACTTGCTTGCCAAGCACCAGCTTCTGAATCAAAACCCCAATACTGCCAAGGGATAAAATAAAGTATTAAAATATAAGGAAAGGTGCAGATAATAGTATGATGGATGATATGGAGTTACACACCTGTAATACAAACACTTGAGAGACTAGGCAGCAGAATTGTGAAGTTAAGATCAGTCTTGGCTACATAATGAAACTGCATCTTAAAGAATAACATGGAATAAAATTAATCAAACTACGTTTTAAAAGACAAGGGTGTAGTTCAATTGTAATTCAAGGAGTTTGGAATGTGCAAGGAACTGATACAATGCACAAAAATTGCATGCTTTAATAACTACAATGCCAGTTGTTCAGTGGAGTACTAGGTGCTGCTTGGCTGGAATCCCTCTTGAGGCAACCTAAGGCAGTTGGTACACCTGTCTTCTGGGCTGGACTGAGGGTGTTTGTGAGCAAACAGTATTTTGAACTCCATTCTTGGATACCACTTACAACTCTTTTTTTAGTATATCCCTTGGAAATCTCTCCTATCCCATCAATAGCTTTCTGGCTTTCAAGTGCAGTTATCTTTGATATATATTAGGGCTCTCCTCCCCTTTGTCTGGAACTGCTCTGTTCCTGGGCACACATTCAGCAGCTTGTTTTGAGAATAGTGGTAGTTATTTTGCTAGCCACCTCTATCCTCTGCCATCCCCTCCTCAAATTAGTTTTTGGTGTCATTATGAGTCTGTGCAGACGGTAGAACCAGCCTGGGAGGGCTTTGAACCGTGATCCTCAGATCTCAGTCTCCCGATTAGCTAGGATTATAGATATAAGCCACCTGAAACCGGCCATCATTTCTTTCTTTCAGGAACATTTCAGGGGAATGGAATAGCACAGCTGCACATACATTCATTACCAACTGCCCAAGGGTGAGCCACATGCTTACACCAAATCCACTGACCTTGATATTGCATTTGGTGTCCAAAAGGATGTTGTTGGACTTAAGGTCTAGGTGTGTGATACTATTTTGGTGTGAACAGCACTTACATTTTGTGTGAAGAGCCTCCTGGCTTCATCATCATATAGGTGGCAGGATTTTAAGATCCACCCCAGGAGGTGGATCTTAAAAATGTCCACCTCATTCTTTATCCGATGATGAGCACTCTCACTTCCAGAGTATTTTCAATGCCACATCCTTGTCTGTGACGTGGGGATGGGCAAGCTTCATTTGTCCAAAGGTAACTTTGTCGATGATCTCTTTCATCAGGTATTGTTTGATGATCTCCTAATTGAAGGAGCTTGAGGATGATTCTTTGTATTCTTCCATCCTTCTGCTATGATGGCAGGTAGCAAGTCTACCTAAAATAACCTAAAGAAAATTATGGAAAACCCTGAAAAAGTTAAAAGAAATACCAAAATCCAAACGACAATCAGTCCCCGCAAACAACAATTCATTTAGTTTTGAGTCAGTCCAGCGGTCATCAAGGAAGAGCTCCCAGATCTGTTAACTGACATAGGTTGGAGCACAGTGGTTTCCTATATAATTTGCATGACCTCATACAATGGAACAATCACAGCCAGGCATAGTGATATCATGGAGGAAATGGATCAAACAGAGTGTGAGGTCAGAAAAAAAGTAGACCAATCATAGCCTGCCAGCCTTCACACTTTAACTCTTAAGCCTCAAAAACTGTTGCTAAGGACTCCAGGTGGGCTTGAGGTTGCTCTGGTCATTAGCATGGCATTTCTGAAACCACTAGGACAGTGGTAAAAATCTTCTCATTTTCTAGAGGACTAATGCATCTTACATCTTATAAATTGCTTCTCTAGAGACACTAGCTAATAGCCTCCATTCTTTTTTTTTTTTTTGTCGGTTGTGGGGCTTGAACTCTGGGCACTGTCCGTCAGCTCTTCAGCTCAAGGCGAGTGCTCTACCACTTGAGCTACAGCGCCACTTCCGGTTTTCTGGTGGTTTATTAGAGATAGGAGTCTCACGGTCTCTCCTGCCCAGGCTGGCTTTGAACCGAGATCCTCAGAGCTCAGCCTCCTGACTAGCTAGGATTATAGGCATGAGCCACCAGCGCCCGGCTTAGCCTCCATTCTTGATGGCCACCTTATCCTATGTCTTGTTCCAGCAATGACATCACACATGGCCTCCCTCTTTCTCAATGACAGCTGTGTCCTACAACTTCCTCTTGATGGGATAAGTCCCAGGCTGGCTTTGAGCCACCATCCTCACAATTCACCTTCCTGAGTAGTTAAGATTATAGGCCTGACCCATTTGTAGGTATTTAGCTCATCTTTTACATTTGGCCAAAGTATATTTGTTAGAAAGGTACATTTTAGTTATGTCCTTTTTAGCACTTTATATTTGTTACCCTTGCTGTCTAATAGTTAATCTAGTTTTTCATGAGCAATTTATCATGATATCATTGACGATCACTTGTGTGTGATAAGTTGTGTCTCTGGGCTTTGGGGGGTTTTCTGTCTTTGTTTAATTAGAATGTGTCAGTGTGGACGTGTATAATTATGTTGATTGACTTTTTTGAGCTGGTAGATTCCTGCATAGAAGGGTTCATGCTTTCAATCAAAATTGGGAAGGTATTGGTTATTATTCCTTCAAATACTCTGTATTTCTTTTTTCTCTCTGTACATTATACATATATACACTATACTTTATACATACATTACATATTCACATTGTATATGGAATATACATATATGCCTACATATATATCATATATACATTTATATACATATATTTATTTTCACATAGCTTCCAGTTTTGTGATTGTTTATAGTAGGAAGTTTAGATTGATCCTAGCTACTCCATCAGAGTTAGAGTAAGCAGAGCTAGCCACAACCCCCCCCTCTATCTCTCACTCTCTCGCTCGCTCTGATTTCCTGTCAGGTTTCTGAGCACGGGGCATTGCTTATCTTCTAGTGTGTGCTGTCATCTTTTGCAATGTCATGTTCTGCTTCAATGGCCACCAGGCCTGCGCCTGGAAGAGGAGCTGCTCCAAAGTCAGCCTGCATGGGTGCATCTGCCTGCCTCTGTCTTGATGTCAGAGCCCCTGCACCTACTGGGGTGGCTTAAGCAGATGCCCCTGTGCCAAGTCTGATAACTGGTGACTGTGGGCGGCACAAGCACAGCCTCTTTTTTAACCCATCAGAGGTCTGTGGTGGAGCTTCAAGGTGTTATCCTGTTGGTGGCTATGCTTGGAGCAAGGCTGGCAGCTGCAGAAGCCTAACTGTGGCCTGACTTCTGGGGAACAACTGATGCCACGGTTTTCTCTGGGCTCTTTTCAGAATGAATTGGCAGGTCCAGTAGGAGAAGCTGAGCTCAGGAGGACCCTAAACACAGAGAAGGCAATGGAGCTGGGAGGGGCAGGGTTGTCCAGGTTGGCAGGTGGCAGATGATGAGCCTATATTAGTAGTCTGCTGGCTTCCAGAAGAAAAGCTAGACTTGCTTGCTACCCAGAAATATCCCTCTAAAACTGGTTGCACCAGAGAGTCCCATGCTGTTTGGGAGAAACTGCTAAAGACTGCAATAGATGGACCAGGATCATTTGGTGCTGTTTATGAGCAATTAAATGCTGTCTCTTGCATGGGAAATCTGAAGGTTATGTAACACTGCAAATCCAGGAAGCCAGAGCCCAAGCAGACACCAGGATTGTCCAACTGCACACTTGGCGTTCTTGTAGGTGTAACCTTGCTCGTTGGCATGGCAGAGTCTTCAACCTGGCGCACTGATGGCACAGGAACCTGCCTAGTATCTCCTCAACCACAGAACTTGGAGACAACAGAAATCCAACTTGGACATGCAATGTCCAGCTGGCAAGAGGCCATTGTGGTCAGTGCGGGTTTGGGCAGAGTGGCAGACCTGCTGTAGGAGGGAGCACATGCCCCTTCAAGGCATCTGGAGGAAGGGGAGACCCTAGGAATAGGCTCATGGAAAGGCTGTTCTCTCCTGCCCAAATAGAATACCTCCAGTTTGTTTGACTGTTTGGTTGGGTCTGGCGGTTCACCGCTAGGAATGAGTGATATTAGGAGACAGTGTTGACGAGGTTATCCCAAAATTAAAGCAATCGCTGAGGGAGCAAAAGATTAAGGTTTGCTGAACTTTCTATAGCAGGTGGAGTTGAAGTCACAGCTGCTTCTGTCTTGAATGACTCAGAGGCTTTGTCACCAGAAGACAAATGACTGGATGCTGGCATGGAGTCCAATGGTTTTAGGAAATTTATCAGAGAGTCTTACTTGGCTGGTATGTCACTAGATAGGGCTAATACTGTGTGCAGAGTTTGGGATTTAGAGCTGAGCATCACAGCTTGATCAGTTTGAAGGGCTGCAGACACCTCTGGAACATGTTGGATTTCAGGAGGTCTGAATACATTATGAGATTAGATGTGGTCCTCTGAGCTTCATCCCTGGTTTGCCACAAAGCTGAGGCCTCCATCCCTGCTGTCATGGTACCCTCAGGGTGTGGGCTATTTTCTGGCAGGTAGAAAAGTTTAGTATGTTTTTTTTCCCTGAGCCTCATTCTGAAGGGCTGTTGTTGGCAGGGAGGATTGTCTCATTGTTAGGTCTGTGTTCTTTGAGTAAGGCAATCTACATACCTGAGAGAAAATCTTACCTTTCTCTCTGAATGTTTAGTTTCTGTGGAAGACTAGTGCCTGAAAGGCCTAAGAGTTTAAAGCTCCAGAGGATTTCTAGGTTTCCAGATGTATCCATGGCTTGTTCTTTTTCATCTTACAAAGACAGCTCTAACTTCCTCCTTTAGTCATGGTCTACTGAGCCCTTTGGCTCTGGCATAAATTAGGAAAGACAGACAGGGCTGTCATGTTGCTAAGAAAAGCTGACAGGACTGCCTTGTTGCTGAGAAAAAGTAGGCAGGCCAGTTTTGTTACATAGTGTTATTTTATTCCCCAAATGTTGGTAAATAAAGCTCCAGATTAGACTTCAGGAGATGCCCGTGATCATTGCTCCATTCCTTTTTCCTGTTCTTACCATACTGCATTTCCATTTAAATTCATTTTTAATTTTTGTCAGAAGCAAAGAGGCAATTTAAAAATCTATATGTAATGTTAATTTTTTTCATGATTTACTAAAATACATGAAGAACATGTCAATACAAGCAATATAAAATGACAGATGTCTTGAGTATGATCTCTGTCCCTCTACTGTTGCTCTCTTGTTCTACCCTGGAGTGATCACTGCTACTAGTTATGTATCCCTATATCTAAATCAAATATACACAAAGACAGGCTATTAAAATAGATTTGCCCACAGCTAGCAATGGTTCCTCAAACTGCTATCTTAGTAAGAGGCAAAATTTTCATTCACAATATGGAGATTCAAACTTCGACACTCATGTTCACAGACCTGAGCCAATTCTGTGCTGGAACCACATGACTCATTGTTCACTAAGGAAAAAGTCTGCAATAGCTGGAAATCTGCCCTCTGCCATTCCCACTAAGCCACAGTATCAGGTATCTGGAATAAGGAGTTACACAGGGTTTAATAGACTTTGAGTTTTAACTTTTGTAATTCCACGTTTCACTTCAGATCAAATATTAGGCCTGCGCAGCAGCAGCCCAAGAGTAAGTGATGTCCAGAACTTGTGTCACAGACTATTTGAATATGTTTTTACTGAATTGTCTTTTTTTCTACAATCCACACCTATGGCCAAATAGGGGCTTTCTTACAGCTAGCTGACTTACGGCATAACACTGGATCTAATTTATACCTAGTTCTGTAGTCTTGTTCTGGAATATGGCTGTTTCAGTCTTAGATTTAGAACTCCCATCTTTCTCCCCCTCTCGTTCTCTTCCCTCTCTGTCCTTCAGTAAACAATTCAAATAATCATTTGTTGAAAAAATGCTTGGAAAATTGTCACAACATTAAACAGCATTGTCCACCATTCAAGCCTGACAATTGTGTTACAACAGGTGGAGAACAAGCATAATAAAAAGTAAATGCACATAGAGATGCGCACACCCACACCCACAACTACACCAGATAGACACATACATACAAACACAGAAATACACACAAAAAATCACAGGACATTTAAACCTTGTTTCTTAATACTTTAAATACACCTAAACATTTGATGACAAACACACACACACACACTCACACACACACACACACACACACACACACACACACACACACAGCCAATACTGGAGCTTCAAAGCAGAATGTGGATAATGTCCATGAAATGTTGAAATGAAATCTACCAATTTACTCATTTGCATCACAGCTCTACTTATGTCCTTTCTAGTGGCTAATTGGAGATGAAAAACACATGGACTTTTCTGCAAAAGTTGACTTCACACCACAATACTCACATCTCAGTCTCCAGACTGATTGAACAATTTACATTTTCACCAACAGTGATATAGCTCCCTTTTGGCCACATCCATGACAGCATTATTTGCTAATCACTGCCTTCCTTACTGCAGTGAGGTGAAATTACAGTGTTGAATGGTTTACATTTCCTTTATGTTCAGAGATGTTCAACATTTCTTTATGTGTCGATTGGCCATTCTTATTCTGAGAAGTCTTTAGGTCAGTACCTTATTTATCAATTGTGATGTTATTTGTGGGTTTATTGGAGGTAATATTTTGTGCTGTATTCAGATTTTTCCTATTAAAAATAGGCCTTGTCTGATGAATTCTTCACCCATTCTGTGGGCTTTGTATGTAGCTTGGTATGTTCTTTGCCAGGAAGAAACTTTTAAGTTTCATGCAATCCATTTATCCAGTCTTTCTTTGATTTCTTGTGATTCTGGATTTTTAGTTACAAACTTTGGACCTGTGTTCTAGGAGCCATGGTGTTTCCGCTGCCACTTCTTGTAATTATTTCATGGTTTCTGGCCTTATATTGATGGCTTGGCATATGTGGACACTATTAATTTGATCTGCCTACAATTCCTTGGTTCACAGAGACAGCATAGTGGTAACCTTTCTAAGTAAGATGAGTTGGTTCATCGTTGTTTAGAAAGGGGATGGCTACTCAGAAGTGTGAATATGGAAATCATTGGTGGTAGTCTCAGGCATAATTATTTTTAATTACATTTTAATTGTAAGTATAATGAATCCTAATCTGTGACACTTTTTTCATCACCTCCCTCATCCCCGAAGCTCGACACTTTCTCCTCAATTTTCCTAGTTTCATTGGATATGAGTTGAAAATTGTGACTTCATTCACCTCCTCCCACCTTTCAAGTGCCAGTTTCCTCATATACATTTTATTATTCTGTTAGATTTTCTAAAGGATTACACCAAAATCTAACATTTTTCTGATTCTTTAAGCCACACATCTAGTCAAAGCATAGTCTAGAACCTGTATTGTTCTTGTATAGTCTCAAGATAGGTTTTCCTTGTGACTTTCTTTATATTTCTTCCTTAACTCTGTACATCTGGTGTACAATACGATGGCTAATGACAACATGGGGATGCTGAGCACTGTAAATTGTGGTGTTGTATTGATTTTGTTGTAAGGATAATGTGCACCATGGAGTTGGAACACTACATACAAAACAATAGGGGAACTACATTTTTGTTAGTTTTGTCAGTCCTGTTAGTTTTGGGGCTTCAGCTCAGGGCATGGTCAGGGTCCCTGAGGGTCTTTTGCATAAGGCGAGTGATCACTCTACCACTTAAGCCATAGCGCCACTTCCAGCTTTTTCTGTTTAATTGGCACTGAGGAACCAATCTCAGGCCTTCATGCATTCTAGGCAAGCACATTACCACTAAGCCACATTCTAGCTATTCAGTTATTTTTTAAATGCTGGCTTTTTCACGAGTTTCCCAGTTTCTTGACCAGGCTGGCTTTGAACTGTGATCCTCAGATCGCAGCTTCCTGAATACCTATGATTACAATCATGAGTTACTGGTGCCTGGCAAATGGTGGTATTTAACCTAATTTTAATTTTCCTCATTGATGGAACAGCAGAGTAGATAACATGAAGAAAGGGAAAGGTAGAGGAAAAAGCAACAGTAGTAGATACTGGAAAAGGAAAGGAAAATAGATAAAAATTAGCAAAATGAAGTAAAGGTTGCAATTTAATTAATAGGAATAGACCAATGTTGCTTTTTTATTTTACAAATATATTACTGTTACATTCCATTAACAGTAGGGAAATGAAGGGCTATACAAATTGTTTACATTTAAAATTTTCTGTATACTATATTTATGCCAACAAATTCATTGTAAAAAAATGCCAACAAGGCAAGGTGTGAAAACATATGCTTGTAATCTCAACTCTTAGGAGCTGAATTGGGAAGACTGAAAGTTGTTATATAGATTATAGAAAAACTGTCTCTGAAGTAAAGGAAAGAAAAAATAAAAGGGAAAAAACAACTAACCAAATGTGTCCTGGGCAATTTTGTTAAAGAAAATACGTTTTTTTCCCCTATTGTTAGGTGTCATACCTGGAAAAAGTCCTTTACTACTTGAGTAATGCCCCAAGCCTTTTTATTTGAATGGTGTTTTTCAGTTTGGTTAGGAGTCTTTCTTTCTTTCTTTTTTTCTTTCTTTCTTTTTTTCTTTCTTTCTTTCTTTCTTTCTTCCTTTCGTATATTTCTTTCCTATCTTTCTTTGCATCTTTCCTTCCTTCCTTCCTTCCTTCCTTCCTTCCTTTCTTTCTTTTTTTCTTCTTTCTTTTTTCTTTCTTTCTTTCCTATCTTTCCTTCCTTCCTTTTTTTTTTTCTTTCTTTCTTTCCTATCTTTCCTTCCTTCCTTTACACAATGAATCTATTTGACTGCTCCAGAAAATTTTAAAAAGGTAGAAATACTTCCTAATTAATTTCACAAGCCCCACGACAAAATGAGTATGTATTTATAGTAATTTTACTTATGAAGGGAAAGGAAAAATCCT